AAGGATGTTGATGGTTTAGCTTCTTTATTAATAATAATTTAAACTTATAATAGCTTCTTAATAATCATTTTGAATTCATACTAATTTTTTTTAAATGTTATCAATATTTTAAAATATTTAACATTATATATATATTTTTAATTTCAGAGAATGATGTGATTAAATCTCTTGACTGTAGCTTCCGGGAAATTTTGAACTTAACAATTGAATGTATTTGAAATAATAAAATTTATTAAAGATTTATATTTAGTGCAAAACTTACATCTGTAATGAAATATAATTTCACCAGAAGTGTCTAATCGCTAGTTGCAGATAATACTTGATAGTAAAAATATTAATCTAATTATTAATCAGATATATCTTAAGTGTATATAAACAAAGTCGTTCATATACATTTCTCCAAAGTATGCATTCATTTTCATTTATGCTTGAATTCCATTTATGAATTACAATACATTTTTGAAGATGAAACACGAAAGACACTTGAACTATAAATCACTAGACATTTCTCATATGGTTAAGTTACTTACGTTAGGTGCAGACTGTACGGTTCTAGAACCAAATAACATCTCTCTTAGGGCTAGTTTGGACCAAATCGAACGAAGCATCGTTACTAATCTTCTATGAAAGAAAAAAACAGAAAGCAGAGGAAAAATTCTAAACTTCTACTAACTACTTTTTTTAGTTTACGTTCGCTGATACTGAACGTAAATAAGTTTTACTGCTCATTGGCTGGTTACTAATACAAGGTTGTCAGACAAGGCGCCCTCTTAATTTAAAAAATTATTTTTAGCTGTGAAAAATATTTTGTTGGTTGACGTCATTCATTTCTTTTTTTAATAAAAGGTGATAAATAAAAACATTAAAAAATTTGTAGACAAATTACAGATTTTTTTTCGTATAAAAATCAGTGTGTCTTTAGGGTACAGTATGGGCGTCATCAGGATCTTTTTTTTTTCAATTCTTTCCGCCCTGTGGACATTAAGAAGACCTCTTTTAGCAAACTTATTAAGGATTTGGCCAGGCCCACAATGGTGCGGGCGAATGGTGAGGGATGGGACCCGACATATCAGACAGACCACTCCCGAAAAATTCCTGGGGATTTTCCGCCCCGTCCGGATTCGATCCCGGGTCCCCCAGAGCGGTAGGCTGCCACCTTGACCGCTCGGCCGCCACCTCGACCGTTCGGCCATCAAGATCAAGTTCAGTAATCTCTAAAAGCAAAAAGCCAACAATGCCTTCGAAAGATTTTGCAACAAATGTCATGCCGGTCAGCCTAAAGACCTTATCATCGTAGCAGAATCTACATCACCAAATACTTCATCCCCGACACAGTCAAGCGTCAAGCTATCTGAGACAAATTGCTGCCCCGGACAGAATTCAAATGCGATACGTGAAACTAAGCCTGGGACTTAGCCACTATTCTCACTTTGAGACTAGCGTAGGGTGACCAGATGTCCGATTTCTGGGGACTTTCCCCGGTTTTGCTTTTAATATTTGATTCTAGAATCAATCTTTGATTCGACAATCAAATATTAATCAGGGGTCCTGTGACCACTGGTTAAGAATCACTGTCTTAAAAGGACTTGTCACATCATTCCATTTACTTCTAATTTTAGTGAGATTAGAAGCAGAGTGGTGTGATGTCTTTTATATTTATTAATTAAAAACAAATTTTTTTAAACTTTTTCATCACGTATTTTTAAAAATTTCTAATTTTCAAGATCTATCATGTCTATCTCTTATTATCATGAACTCCCTACTGAAGAAAAAAACATGCCTCTTGAAATTAAATCCGTGTTCTACTGTTTCTCTCCCCATTTCCTTTCATGACATTTGACTTAAATTTTTCCAAAACTCAGAGATGTCATTACCAAAAATTACGTATGGGGATATATATAACTACTTGATTAATTCTCATGAAATTTATGCTGCAGTCATTGAAAGCTTAGAAGCTTACAATTATTTATATATATAGTCAGTACTGGTTCACCTATGAAAAGGACAGTCTTTCCGGACATTGTTTGTACATGGCTGGTAAGTCGATTTTTTAATACTGTAGTGCATAAGCACTATTGTATAGTAGTTTCCGTTATTTATGTATATCGGGTTTTATTGTAAAATTTCGTTTTCTTCCTGATATCGGATTGCGACGGGTAGAACCCGTCGCCCTTGCTGATTGGCCAAGGACTAACAACACGTCACACTCAATGGCGGGGGATATAAATGTTTGGACTCCCGTCCAGAGAGGAACTTTTTGGTTTTCCCTTCGGCCCTGTCTTGTCGTGAGATAAGAATAGACTATGTGGTGCAAGGACAAAGAAGAAAGAAAACGACACGTGTGGACTTTCAATTAAGGAGTGAACGGAATCCGAATCCATCGGTGAAAATACGTCAACAGTCCAAGAAACAAGTAGGAATACAAATACAGGAAACTTCAAAGAACATCCCAAGACTATTATTTTGTCGGTACGTGGATTACTGTGTTATTAATATTTAAGTAAATTCTTCAATCCTTCTCCCTGGAAGTTCTAATGTGTTTAAGTTCCTCCTATGTTGTTAGAATAGATTAAATTTTGTCTGTATGTATTCATGATTAAATTTTATCGTTTAAAATATACCACAATTGTAAAGTCCTCAATCAATGTGTCTTTGCCTTTACCCGACAACCTCGCCTAACAGACTTAGGTCTATTGGGGCTTAACAATACAAATAAAACATCATCTTTCTTTCTTTCTTCTCTAATATGGAGATTCTGAATAAAACATCATTTCATAAATAAAAAGCTTTCATACGAAAGCATAGGCTAAGTTATTTTTTAAATATGTTACTGTATTATTACAAATTGGATAAACTATAGTAACAATTAATAAAACATTTAACACCTTATAACGCTGAGAAATATTTATTAAAACACAAACGTTTTCAGCCTAATGGAATAGGCCATCATCAGATGACAGGCTATCGAACAACTTTTAAAACTTTTTTCTAGATATGGACATACAATTAAAAGGAGATTGCATAACAACGAACATTTACCTACACACAATCCTCTCTACATACCAGCTAATTCGAATGACCTGCATGAATACAAAATGTCAGCATTTCGTGCACTCATTAGGACAGCATTTACTTATTGCTCCAATGTATTGGACAGGATTAAAGAGATTGACAGAATTAAGGAAGTAGCTTCAAATTTGGGTTACCGCAAAAGTACAATTGAAGAGCTAATAAAAAGTTATGAAAGAGGCAAGAGGTTAAGAACTGGAACAGATCATTTTAAGATCACCAAATTTACGTATAATAAAAACTTCAGAGACATCATGAAGCAAGTTTCAGACAGAAAACACTCCAAAATTGTTTACAAAAGAGGTCCTAATTTATACAGTATTCTTAGAAACGATAAGGACAAGCTTAAGAAAGAAGAAACAACGGGCGTGTATAAAATTCCCTTTGAAAACCAACAGCTAGGAATTATGAAGGACTATATTGGAGTCACTAGACGGAATTTGGCTATTAGGCTATTAGGCTTAAAGAACACAGATATGACATTAGTAAAGGACATTGTACCACGGTTTGGTCAAGTATGGCACAAGCGGAGGCTTCAGAAGTTAAATGGAATGAAGCATCTATTCTCAAGATGTTGCAGTCCCCATCGTTGGCTTTGCAACATGAAAAAATTGAAATTTATAAGAGTAAATTAAGGGACGGCTGTATCAATGTAAAGGATGTTGATGGTTTAGCTTCGGCATGGAAGTTCTTTGTAAAAGAAAAGTTAAAACACACAAATTCTTAGTTCCTATCTGCCTTTATAATGTGATGCTTTTTGATATAGAGTCAACCCCCTATAACACGGTAGATACGTTCCGTTCTTTATAAATCCATTTTGTACGAGTCCTTGCCAATCACAGCCCGACACGTGTGAAGTTTACGGACTACGGCTGTTTGAAAGGTTTTTTTCCATAAAATTAATCGATTCCTAGACTAATTCGACTCAACATTTCCAAAATACATGTACGTATATGTTTTTTTTTTTTTTTTTTGGGAATAATAAACTATGCTATAAACAAAAAATTGTAGGATTACTTACTGAGTGTGCACCATTCAACGTCACCATTGCTTAAGCTTGTTTTCTTCGTGGAGCAGCGCACCAAACGGCAGGCGCGATTTCTGATAAGTTATTTTTCTGCGAAAACTTCGTTGAACTTTGGAGACATTAATATAAATAATTTTTATGGCCGTTGAATAAGAAATGTTTCTTTCACAAGAAATGTATAAAATTAGTGCTGTATTAGACTTACGGTACCTAATTTACATACTGTACAGACGATA